CACAAAATTATACTATACCACGATGGGGTTCACCTGCTCCAAATTTAAAGGAGGTGGTTTAAACGGCAAATAAAACCAAGGATTAGTTTTATAGAGTTGTCAGTTAATGTATGCAATTTACCCAAGATGTAATGCAAAGTTAAGACAAATACATTTAGAAACGTTTATATGAATTCCAAGATAACATACACGTAGTGGGTTATTAAGGGAAGGAAGAACATTTGAAGAATATAATCAATATTTTGAGGCTGACACTGAAGGCAAACATTTACTCCTATTAAATGTCAGACCCAGAATATTAAGACTGCATGGTCCCAGGATGGCACTTACAAGCTCTAGCCTCAGAAGAGTTCATGACTGAATATTATGCTTCACTCTGCAGACAAGATAAATGAGAGTAAAATTTTAACATCACGCATTTGCTACCATTTATTTATTCAGCACTTATTTTGTATTACACACCAGGTCTCTGCTAGGTACTTTAAAGTATCTCATTTAATACTCACAAGGTAATTTATTATCCTCACCTTACACAGGAGGAAACTAAGGCTCTGAGAAGGCAAAATTATGGCAAATATGTATTTTAAACGTAAAATACAATAGTAAGTTTTACAGCAAGTATTTAAACCCAGGTCTATGCCATGTTGCCTTTCATGATAACTGTAAATAAAAGTCATAATCATAAGAAAAAATAAACTTTCATTTTAAGTGCTTATTTTTCCATTTAAATGCTCAGAGCCTAGCTGGTTAGCTCAGTTGGTTAGAGTGTAGTGTTGTTAACACCAAGGTCAAGGGTTCAGATCCCTTACCAGTCAGCCACCAAAAAAAAAAAAAAAATGCCCAGTAAATCTTCTCAACAGTCCTATGAAGATGCTTATTCAAAACAGTTTTGAGCCTTCTCAGACTCCCCTTTTCCTCAAACCTCACATCCTATCTTTAGCCCATCTTGCTGGTCCTACCTTCAAAAATGTACTCAGAATCCATTATATTTTGAATATGTATTAAAATACATATTCATATGTATTTCATCACTATGCCTCAAATGTATCTCTGGCCTACATTAATTAAAATAGCCTCCTAACTAGTGTCCCTGCTTCTTCTACCCTTGTCTTCCCTCCAAGTCTATTCTGAATCCTTCCAAAGGGTTTCTTTTAAAGATGTTATCACTCCTTTCCTCAAAACATCCCAGTGGTTACCCATCTGGCTAAGGTAAAATCCAAAGTCCTTACAATGGGCAATACCCAATACCTCTCTGACATCATTTCTTCCATTCTCTTCCTCTACTTTAGCCACATTTGCCTCCTTGTTATTCCTCAAATATGCCAAGCATGCTCCCTCCCCTGGCTGTTCCCTCTGCCTAGAAAGCTCTTTCCTCACCTCAGCTAAAACTTTTTCAGGTCTTAGCTCAAATGGTCCCTTAACAGTGAAGCTCTTCTTCTCCATTCTACACTCTCAAGCATTCCATACCCCCTTACTCTATCAAGGCATTTATAACCTTCCAACATTTTATGTATTTATTTATCACTATCTGTCTGCCTGCTCATGGAGGCAGGGTCTATTTTTTTCATTGTTCCTAGAATAGGAACTGACATAAGGTAGTTGCTTAAAAAATACTTGTTGAATGAAAATATGAATCATTAATACAAAAACTCAAATTCATAAACACTCCAGCATACAGCCTCCATACCACATGCCCTAAGCTACTCAAGTATATCACCTTTTTTCACACAACTCTAGCATTTCCAAGTAAATATGAGAGCCTCTCCCCACTCCACAAATGCATCATCAAAATCTAGGGCCAAATTGTTTTTTAATTTACATGCTGGCTTTCCCATAAGTCAGTAATTTTCAAATACTGAGCTTTAGGTTCTCATTACTCCATAAAGTTCTTTCCTCCTGCTATTCTCCCCATTCACTGTTAGCTCTTCTCTCTTATGCTAGTCTAAGAAAATTGACATCCCCCCCAATGATAAACACTCTGATTTTTGTACATGTTGTTTATGTCCTATCATACTAACTAGACTGCATGTTTCTTTGAGGTTATCTAGCACAATGTCTCACATACAGAAATTTTTCTCAAATATTATTAGTATTCCTTCTCCAATTCCATTCACAAAAGTAAAGCCCTGTAATAGCATTGATATTCTTTTTTTCCCCCACAAATTGCCTATTCTCATCTGGATGGAAGGGAGCGAGAGCATTACCAAAAGTAAAAAAGACAGTCTATTAACTAAGATGGGCAAGGGGAAAATCAATGACAAAGAAGTTTTTGGTACTATGTAGCTGTTTCCTTACTCCCAAGATCTGAGCAAGGAAGTGGTCAAGGCAGGTCAGGTAGACCAGAGCTTGGACTACGTTTCACAACTCTGCCCCATTTGTAAAAGCAGGGTTGACAGGTTCTTGAAGGTACAAATTAGACTTCATCTTAAAGGTATTTTTTGTTGACTTTGGTGTTAATGACTTGAGAAGAGATTTAAATATTAAGAGAACACCAACTGATCCATATTTCATCACAATTCATTCAACTCTTTTACTTCCTATTGTTTTTCTAGGAAAATTCCAATGGCCGGCCAAACAAACAAACGAACAAAATACGAAGGGAAGGATCCAAATTGAATGATGTTGATATAAAGAAATGATTAAACCTACATTTTCAATTATACTAATTTAGGGTACAAAGACCACAGATTACTGCAAATCCTCTCCCCCCCAAAGACATAATACTTTTTCCGTTCAGAAAATATGACACGTTTTAAGTTTCTCTGCAAAAGCTTAATTTAACTTGAGCACCAATTTGAGATACTGTAACAAAAAAGTAGTCCTTTTATATGATGAGCACCAATGGGAAACCTACCTAAAATGTAACATTTGTCATAAACAACCCAGAATGTAGTGTGTGTGTGTAATAAAAAAAACTGAAGACTGACTGCAGTTACGGGTAAATTGAAAAGTTTAAACATTCAGGGATGGGACAAACAGAGGACAAGGTGTGTTGGAGTTCCCAAACTTCTACAGGTAGGAAGATAGACATTGTTTTCTCATTTGTTTTTGATCAAATTAGTGTGACTTAGCTTACATTCCCTAAACTGGAAAAGAAATTAAAATTTACGTAGCTACATAGAAAAGTCATTTCCCACAATAGTACATTAAAGTTAAACCCTGCCTTTAACACTTCTTTGAAGCCTGAAATCTACAAGCGCATTTATAGAATGCATTGCTAATAAAGGTGAACGTGTAAGCAAGCATTCGAATTTGCTGGTTACTGTACAGACACAGATTCATTATGAGAAAACTCACAAATATCAAACAGACCAGATACTAAAGCAACATTACAGAAGGGATGAAAAAGTTGCCAAAGAATATAAACATACAACTATAGAAATATAGACTTAAATGGAATCACAGAAACTATGCTTACTCCCTCACTTCATTCACCTGCTCATACATCATCTCCCAGAGGACTTCCCTGACCACCCCATCTAAAATAGCCGCCCCTATCACACTCTATTCCTACACCCTGATTTGTTTTTTCTCACAGCAGGTGCCACTATGGGCCATTATATCCTAAGTCGCATTTGCTGATTGTTTGCTTCCCGACTAAAACATAAGTTCCATGAGGGCTTAGAAGCTTTGTAGGTTTTGTTAATCTCAGGGCCTAGAGACACAGAGCAACACTCAATAAGCACGCTGAATAAATGATGAAACTGAAGCCCAGATAGGTTAAAGGATTTCTTCAAGGTCACAGAGCTAGCAGTAAGCACTGCCCTTACTGTAATGCTGTCTACTATAACCCTGTCTCTTTGCTCTTTCCACAGCCACTTCCACTCCACCAAAGCAGCCTGCTCCTGCATATGACTCTATTTAACAGACTTCTCCTCTTTCCTTTTTTAAGTGCCAAAGATAATACGTTACCAAAAAAAGTGACACACTGGTAGGCATTTTAACTTCAAGTGTTTTCACCAACCAAACTATACCCAAATTTCGTAAGTATACAAGATTAACCCATAAAACAGGAAGGCGCAACTACTCACAGTTCTTTATGTTCCTCCTAAAATTGGTGTATGCCTTGGAAGTTTTTTAAGAACAGCTACTGAAAACCTACTTACCAATTCAGAATGGCCTGTAAAGTACCAGCCTAGCTTTCATTCTTCTAAGAACCCACCACAGCTCCTCCCTGGATATACTTTATCTTGCAAATTATGCAGGCAATGTAACTAACCTTAAAGCCCCTTTAGTTCCTTTTAAAGTAAAAATCAGTCTCACAAAACATTAAACATAAAATTAACCCTTGGGAAGTTTTAGATTCTGAAAACAGGAATCATCTCTGAACCATCATCTAACCGTCACCATCCAGGTCCTTCATTCAAAATCCATGAATCTGAAATACCTAAGAGAAGCGCGGGAGGACGTGAGGGGGAGGAAAGAGGGTGGAGAAGAAATATTAACAAAAATATATAAGGGAGCTGATAATTCTAATAACACTGTTACCCAATGTCTGCTTCTCGCCTACAGTCAGGGCCTCACTGTCACAACTTCTGTTGTCGTCTTTGATCACCTTCCTTGCAGAGAGAAGCGCCAACTGCCAATACCGTCTGCGGGGAACGTCTCTAGATCTAGGTTGGCACACGCTAGGACAGAGAATGATTTGCTTGGCGTCTCTCAAAACTACTGTCAGCCCAATTAGTAAACTGAAAGGGAAGCCCTAGATATGGGATGGCAAGAGAGTTGAAATGAGACTGGGAGTTAAGTGTGGGAAAGAGCAGATGAAAAGGAGCGGCGCGGGTAAACAACGTTATCAGGAGCAGGAGTGAGAACCGGGGTCGAAGAAGTGGGGTCAGTGACAGGCAAAGGTGAAGGGAGGAAAAGGATGAGGGTCGGGGTGGGATGGACCGGAGCACCGGGGGAGGGGACGGGAGAGGGCTGGCGGAGCGGGGGAAGGGCCCGCAGCGGAAGGGAGCCAAGAGGCGGGATGAAGAGGGCCAGGCCGGGAGGGTCTTCACCTGCAGCTCCGCCCGCTCCACCTCCCACTGGGCTCTCTCCACCTCGAAGCGGGCCCACTCGTGCTGCAGGAAGTGTAGGATCCCGGGGAGGCTGTACTGGGCTCGGGCCGCCCCCGCTGCAGCCGCCCCGTCGCCGGCCGCGGCAGCCTCCGCCAGAGGCCCGAGTCCCTTGGCACCGCCGGCGCCCGGGGGGTTGTTGCCGAAGAAGACGCC